ATCACCGCGTTGCCATGGATACAATCTGGCGCCCACACCCACCATTAATATTATGGCAAACAGGCAGATTTCATTACTGAGGGTCCCATCTAACTAAAAAACATGATGTGCAAAAATCCCTAAGCGGGGGGATGGTTTCGGTTATTGGCCCCCAGTCTAATAACTATAATGATTATATTACATAATACCTGTCAGAACTCTAAATTTCACCTGTAATGGAAAGCAACACTTGATACAAGTCTCAAGTTCAAGCCAAATGATGAACCTTCAGAAGTAATAAAGTCTGCATCTTCCAAGTGTATCATACCTAATAAAATGTCTATCAGTAACAGCGACTGGTGATATCCACTGAGAATTCCTAAACCACCTGATAGATTTTAGTGTCTGAAACGGAACGTCTTATTGTGTTATTGGAGTACTGTACAGTTGTTGGCAGTCCACCCAACTCTGTTGAGTTACAGTTGAGGGAATTAATGTATTTCTCAGTTTTTGAACTTGTTAACTTAGTGAATTTCCTGTTAAAAATAATTGTTTGAATTTTACAAAGATGTTCTTTGAAAACATATTGTCCTAGATGCTTGAATTTGCAAGACTTGTTATAAAGGGGAGATATTTTGGATATATAGTGTTATGCATTACAAATGTTGCAGAACGAGGTTTGTGCATGTGCATTGAAAATGAAGTTAGTTACGCTCATGACAACACAGTACCAGTCTTGTTGTGTTTTTCTGACAAACTTTCATGTGATATAATAATGTATTCACTTCCAGGTTCTCCCCCACGGCGGACTACTCTGTCCGGGACTCGTAAAAAGAAAGCAGGGACTGGAGGCCAGTGTCTGACACTGTTGTTTACAGTGCCAACAGGGTTCTGCCAGGACAAAAAGTTGCCAACCAGCACTATTCTATTTGTTTTATACAATATACACAGGATGTCGGCCACCTGACCATCATTCTGTTGGCCTTGTTGGTTTTAACATACAATAACACAATGCAAAAATTAAACTTTAATGAAACAAATTTTTAGTCAGCTATACAAGGAAGGCTTATTTCTCACTTTTAATGTGATTTACCAGCATTCCATTAAGAAAATATTCCACTTTGGCCATAACAAACGAATGACATGCTTTGAAAATCATCTAAAAATCATCAAAATCAAGCATTTCTTGGCCGTTTACAGATGGATTTTGTTCATTTTTTAATGAAGTCAAAAAAATCTAATCATGGACAGAAATAACCGAATAGGGAAAAAAAACAGAAAAATGGTTTGGTTCGAGTGTAAATCTGTGCGTCAAGTGAGGTGCATTTGTAAACTCTTTTTACACCCACTCGACAACCAACTGCTATGCAATACTACTGTCCGATTATCAATTTGTATTTAATGGTGAATGTAGTCTGACGCCATGACTAATATTTATCAATTAAGTTTCAGTAGGGGGGTTTGGAAAAAAACTAAAGGAATTAAGTTTTTTTATCCGACATCGATCTTTTGACATCGTTCCTTATCCGATCAAAAATTTTTGATCCACAGTTAGACTAGAACACATCAGCATAGTAAATAGTGATAACACCATCACATTATGAAGCATATTAGTTTCAATTGTGAGATTTTTAGAACACCTAATCTTTGAGATATTTTATAACATATTTCATTTACCGTATATGTATATTCCAATTTAAATTTGGGTTAAACCAAACACCTATGGCAACTACTCTTCAAAGAACAGAGCAAGCTGTTTACAAACAATTTCAGCCGAATGTACATTGGTGGGAGAGTGTTGACCGTCACCTGAGGGGTGATAACATTTGATGGGCAGGCTGCCTATCTTTTTGAGAACACTGCCCAACTATTGCTGTGATTTAGCCAAGTCATGCGGCTTTTTTCACTCCTTCCAAATTGCCTGATTTTCAAGAAGCATTAAAATCTTAAACATATTATACACGACTTGAATCAAATGTTGTGTAGTTTTAACATCACTACCTTGTTTTATTTTTCCAGTCATGCCCCGTAATTTTCGCTTAATGGACGAGTTAGAAGAAGGTCAAAAAGGTGGTGGTGATGGTACTATCAGTTGGGGATTGGAAGATGATGATGATATGACTATGAGTAGGTGGACTGGTATGATTATTGGACCCCCACGGGTGAGTCATTTTACAAATTGCAATCCAACTTACGAACCCATTCCAGTCGTATTTTCTTGTGGAAAATGGTGATTTGCTCTTTTAAGTGGTAGTGTATGTGTTTTTTTACACAATATCAGTGTCTGTGGTCGAAATAATTTTGTTTTCATGAAGATACTAATACAGAGACATAATATGATTAAGCTAACTATGATAGACTATTTGCACACTGTATTATTATCATCAATACATCATCAGTCATCACTGTGCAATTATGTGCTCTAATCACAAAGCATTTTGTCATTGCAGTGTGTTTTTGAAAACCGTATTTTCAGTCTAAAATTGGAGTGTGGATGTCGATATCCTGATGAACCACCAGTTTGCCGCTTTATTAGTAAAATTAATATGTCTGGAGTCAACAGCAACACAGGACTTGTAAGTCTATTATGTTTGCTTTTACTTTGTTTAGTTTAAGGACCACACCCAAGTTTGAATGGTCTATTTTGTGAGTATGCCAGTGATTGGAAAACATTATTAGCATCTATTAATTTATTAATGAAATTGTTTTTTCAAACTAATAGTGCTCAATTATATATTATTTTGCACTTTTAGCATGAATTACTGAAAAGCTTTTCCCACTATTTTAAAGATTTGTTTGTTTTTTTTGCTTTTAAAAAGAAGTATGATGATATGTTTTTTCATTGTCTTGGACAATTGGAGGTGGTAAAGAGGAACATCTTGTAGTTGAGCAAGCAATACCTTACTCAGCAAATAGCCACATACCTTACCATACTACAATTAGTTTCAAGTTTCAAATAAAAACAAACATACGGTAAACACAGTGATTAGTAAAAAAAATTATGGTAAAAAAAAAAAAAAAAAAAAGTAAAATTCAACTTAATTTCATCGTAAACGAATGTTTTGGTTGCTTACAAACATGCGATAGGATAGGATTTAATATTTATGTTTCTTTCCATACATGAAACTGTGTTTAACTCGATTATTAACCAATCAGAATGCTGGATAGTGCCATCATGTTCAAATAATCATTGCTCATTTAAATATGTTAATGAGGGTTAAGCAATCTCACTGAATGGCAAGAATGGAAGAGATTTATCGATGTTGTATTATGATCTTTTGGCTTTGATTTTGATGGGAAAACAGCATGATTTTTTTAAATCAAGGAACTAGAAGTTTTTGAAAGATAAAATGAGTTTAACACTGTTTTATGATAATAAAAGTTCATTGTCAAAAGAGTTTATCCATTCACACTAGTCACAATAGGGGATTCGCGTTTATCCTTGGATATATAACCATGGTAGGAAGAACGTTGCCTTTGGTCAGACCATCAACACAACAGTTAAATAACGCTTTTCGCTGCCCTTGGTGTAAACTTCCACAGTTTTTGACTCTTGTGTTGTGAAAATAGACAATCTTTTCATCCATATTCCTTTGTAGTCAAATACGTCTTCGCTGTGTTTATTGCAAACTGTTCATGGTCGAAATGGTTGATGGTGTGAAAATTGTCATTACTATGCAACTTTAATACAACTTTATACATATGCTGTGTTATTCAAAATAGCTAACTGGTTTCAATTTATTGCGTGACAGGACTCATTTATATGTCTGACATATAAATGAAATTCCAGTGTGGTATGATCTGGTGTGGGCCACAAACATGGTAGTGAATTTACTAATTTTTTCTTTGACTTTTTAGATTGACCGCAAATCATATCCTGTGCTATCTCGCTGGCAGAGACACTTCTCTATCAAGACAGTTTTACTGGAGGTAAGACGAGCAATGACGCTTAAGGAAAACATGAAGCTGCAACAACCCCCAGAAGGCTCCACATTTTAGCACTTGTGCCACCACCGCAGTTGTACTCGGTGATCTTGGTTTGGCTCCTGATGTCTTTGGATAATGTACTTTGATCAGCTACAACGATAACTGTTACAAGAAACTCCACATATAATTTCTCTATTGAAGTGCATACTTTTAGTTAATGTCCTTCAACTGTTTTTGTGTAGTAGATATTTTCCCCTTATGATGAATTATGCCAATCATCTTGGGCAGCTGATTCAATGATTTTTGTACCTCACATAATTTTATTTACTTTGTGCCTTTAATAGAGAATACACAGTATTTATTGACATGTGTCATTAGTGCCCCTTCCCTTTCTTAATTTGAGGCATTCCGTCATTTTGGGGTTGTACTCTTACACTAAGGGGCCAGACTGAAGTCCCTGGGTATCAGCATAAATAATTCTGTTTTATGATAAGAACAAAGCTCTGGCACATGGCATGAAACAAGCCTACAAGATTTATCAGTCTGTATGTTGGATTTCTGGTTTGTCATCTTTTTATCAGCAGCAAGTGACTTCAGTTAAGATTACTTCCTCTACTTTGTATATTTTAAAGTAAAAAACGATTGCATTGCAGACTCAAGGGGGTTCATAATGAGTGTCTGTGATTCACAAGGGTGGTCCGATTGTACCCGACACTCGTTGTAAAAGATTGTTTTGATCAATTACCGCAGAGGCTAAAATCTTTGTCAAAAGACTGCTGTCACTTGCTGCATTGATTGGAATACCAGATTTTCTTGATCAGAAACGCTTGTGTATTTGAATGGTCAGCATCAAAAGATTGGGCGAGTTTTGGCATACTTAAAATCTCACCCAAAAAGTTTTTTGCTTACATGATTCTTTATTGGATATGTGCTTCTCACAGAGCATTTATGGTGTGACAGGGTTCTCCCCATGGCATTAGAGTAGTGTGCCCCCCTCAATTTGTTGGTAAACAATTGGCTCAATCACCATAACAATGAATACAACACTTTTCCAAAATTTGTGAGGTACCATTTTCTGACATTTATATAAATCATCAAATGTTGAGATTGTGGATTGTAGCTGCAGAATATCAATTTAAGCAAGCCTCCTACAGCGACCTAGATTTGAAAACGATACTGGGTTAGGAGGCTGCGTTTGTTTTTCAAGGTCAATTACATACAAGACCCTCCAGTAATCCTAAAATGAGCAGGATATCTACTAATATCAAACCGCATCATTTGAAGACTAGTTTCAGCTTGTCTTTGGAGTGATGTTTTACATATTTGCATAGGAATGCAACTTAAAGATCTGATATGATACTAAAATGGGGAGAGCACTGTCATAATCTATAGTAAAACAGCTTCGCAATAAAAACATTCTCTATTCAGCATCAATGGATTATGTTATAAAGTAAAAAAAAATGATAATTAACATTTTTAGTGTCTCTTATGTTGCTACACTTAGCTAATATTTGTTCAAAAATCTTTTGATCCTTGTATTGATTGCAGCGCAAGCACAATACCATTTTTCTGTTGCCCAACCCCCTTCAGTTACTTTTACTGTACTCTTTGCCTTCATTGTGAACCCTACCAGCCAATCCCCGCTGACTGATTCATCCAGCGTTATCTTGCAGCGATAGTATGTATGCAGACTTTCTAGTTGTAATTTTCAATTCCTCAGTTTCTTGCGCACTGTAGGGTAAATATCAGAATGTATAGTCGAGTTTTGTGCTTGTATTTCTTTTGCTTTGTTTGAATAAATGGAGTGTAAAATTAAGGTTGTACTAAACCCCCCACCCATTCCTCTATGCCAATCTTGGAAAAAGGTCTACATTGTTGCCCCTATCCACCATTGGTGGGTCAAACCATTTGAGAAGAGGTATTTTGGGAGACAGAGGTTAAATGAAATGCATTAGCATTTTGATGACCCCTATTGATTTATGTCTACATTTGTTGTATTTAACCAAAACTGTAAGAAACTGGTTGATTTCATTTAGCATTATGTTCCTTTTAATATAATTCTAGTTGTTAAATCAAGCCTACCTGTCTATACTACCGTAATTACTGTACTTTTCTGTTTGTTCATCTGCTCAATTTTGTGAATAAACATGTGAGAAAAATGTGAATTATGCCATGTGTGGTGTATTCTGTTTTCGCAATCAAACTCGTCTTGATGCTTCTATTTGTGCAAGAATTTAAATTTGGACATTTGATTAAATGTGGCATATTCAACAATATAAATTACGGTAAGTGTCAAAATACACCATGCCAATTGAATTTCTATAATAAAAAAAATTTAATTGACTTAGGCCTGCTTGACATGATGGTAAGACGATACCAATGTTGTACCATGGCAGAACCCTAACCCTACAGTAAACCTGTCATTGTTTTATATACCGGTATCATTGAAAAAAATCTTCATTTTTTTGACTTTTATAACATTTTCATATTGCAGATTTTGGAATTAAGACTGCCAGTATGCTTCCCACAAGTATTCACAAATTGTTGATTGAATACTTGTATTACATACAATCCACAAGAATATCACTGCTGGTTTGTGTTGCCCATAATACTTTACGTAATTTATATGAATTGGTGTTGTTGCCACAGAGAAGACCGCTATCTAGTTTCTTGGTAGACAATATGCAAGTCCACAGACCTGTAGATAGCGGTTTTCCTTTGTCATGTCAACTTTAATACACCTTGTATGTGCAACAGTGTTCAGTAGTACATCAGAAGGACTACTGTAAAACGCGTCTTTTTCGCGAGCATGTCTTTTTAGCGAATTTAGCAAGAGAACTGATTCGCTAATTCAAGATGTCGCTAATGACTTTATTATAAATTCAAAATGGCCAAGACTTGGGGATTTGTATACAGTAATCTGGAACATAAAAATTTGCGCATTTGTTTTGGCACACGACAGACAAGTATTGTAAAAACAGAAAATCAACAATCAATGACGAGAGAGATTCGCTAAATCAACATTTCGCTATTGCATCATTTTACCACAATTCGCTAAAATTGCATGTCGCTTTTTCAACATGTTTTACAGTACTTCATAGCAGAGGTAGATGTCTTCCCATACCACACTACTCTTTGAAACTTAACAAGTTGAATCTATTGATTTCTTTCTGTGGTTAGAAAATATCCACAAAAGGGACAGTGTATAGTAATGAGACAGACAAAATATTAAAAAAGAATAGATTATTATTTAATAGTCTAAATATTTCTATGGATTTAAAAATGGATTCTGAGATGACACTTCTATGGTCGTATTTTAAACTTTTCACCAGCAGACTTTTTCGCCCAAATGTTTCTGCACTTTTTTTCTTATATTCTTCAATGATTTTGGAGCCAACATACACAATTTTCTGTTTTTACTCAAAATATGTGGCTATTTTTGTCTCAATCTTCTGAAGGAAAGTGCAGACTATAAATGTGACTATTTTGTGAATTTGTGATGAAAAGAGGGAACTGGTGGTGAAAAGGTTAATAATACAGAGACGTGCTTCTACAATATTAAATGGGTGTTTTGAGACAATTGTGTGACATATAATGACATGAAAATGAGAGAACCTTTATTAACGTAGCCTGATTAATTTAGAAATTCAATCTGCATGAATCAGGGCACGCTTTAATATTTCGCAATCAAAAAGCGAACTTGTATAATGAGAAATGTAGGTGTCAGCTGATCTAACAGGCATCCTCCTGAACCATAACATTTAGCAGTAGTAGCAGACATGTTATTATTTGCTTCTAATACACCGTAAATAAAATTTCAACAAAAGTCAGAAGTAGCCAAAATTATCAGCACAATATCAATATTGACACTTTGTAGTCCAAAAATTATCCCAAACTAGCTCTGCTTTAACTCCAATTAGGAATGGAATATTTAAAGCGCGGTGGTCGTCGCGCAGCGCGTGTTCGATTTTCATGTAAATAAACAATGTATTACACGCGTTGTATACGTCACTACGAGTCCCATATCGAACAGGACGCTGCACGACGACTGCCGCCCTTTAAGATGAAGTTTTTGATTCACCTACATAAGCAACAGGTCAGTGCGTATGCGTGTCCATTTTTTAAAAACCTGATTTGAAAGTTGGCATCAGAAATTGGTTTTGTTTTCATTATTGTTTAACTATACATTGTATGTTTTCAATCAGGTTATTGTTACTAACATATTTTAACAATTTATAGACATTATATCATCAACAATTACTGTATATATTAAAGTGATCAAAGACAATGGAAAGCAATGATTTAGTAAAAATAAACCCTCTTTTTGAAATGAGTTTGAAAGCAAGGCGTTGTGATCTATATAGCCGAAATGCGCACATAACTATTAGTCAGCAGGCTTGCCTAAACTTTTTTATATGGAGTTGTTGTCTTTTATTCTGGCCATATTTTTGTGGCAATGTTACATAGACTTTAGATGCAAATAGCCATCTCGATTTTGTTAGAGCGAGACAGCCACAGGCTTGAATCAATGCAAAGCTACTTATAAGCTTGTGCCTGATTGGCTACCCAACCCTGATACCTAACAATCAGACCAATCAAAGAGCAGCTTGCTTGTTAACATGTTAAAATTTATAAGACTTGGCCTTCAACAAAATGGAATGCTACAGGATTATGTAAATATTTTCAGTTGATTCATTTGTGATTTCTCAACGATAAAAATATAAAACTCTTTAAAATAACTTCAAAAAGTCTCTACAAATTATGCTGTTAAAATTTCTATTGCTGAGTGGGGACATCTGTAAAGTTTTGACACTGCGATATTTAAATTGGACGATTCAGTGTCCTTTTTGTACTGTCACATTATTGCATTTTATTACATTTTTTACAAATAATACGTCTAGATAGATACACTTGAGTCAACAAACCCGTGTTTATAAATACCCAACTGTTTTCATTTTAAATTAGTTTAATCATTCAAATGAGATTGGATTGCCTCAGTGAAATCTGTGGTGTCACTACACATAACTTATCCTTTTCACCACCAGACTTTCTCGCCCAAATTTTGCTGCACTTTTTTTTCTTATATTCTTCAATATTTCTGGAAATGAACCCTAATTTTTGAGCCAACAGAATTTTTTTTTTCAGTTTTCACTCAAAAAATGTGGCTACTTTTGTCCCAATCTTCTGAAGGAAAGTGTAGACTATAAACGGGACTATTTTGTGAATTTGTGATGAAAAGAGGGAATATAAACAATGTGTAACTGCCATTAGAGTTTCAGGTTTATAACTTACATGGGTTTGTTTACTCCAGTGTAATTCTAACTCTAAATATTTTTAAAAAAAGCTTGAGGCACTGGCAAAGACCTAATTTACAAGGTTATATACAAACAGACTTAGGTAAGAAATGCTTAAACATAAATTAATACTTGGGTAGTATAAAATTCAAAATCCTTTATTGCCTTGATGTGTAACAAAATATCTTTTCCAGCCATACAACAGCATCTTCTTCGCTATCAGCTCGCAGCCTGTACGTCCTATCCTCTGTCTCCAAAATGATCACCTTCTTGTCTTCTTCCGTGCCAGCGGGTACCCCCTTCAAGTAGATTGATCCAAGCAATTTATCATGTTTTTTCTTATAATAATGTAAGTGTCCTGTTTGTGTCAGCTCAAAAAATCTTGATTCCCACTGTGGCGCAAATAACCTGCCTTTACTCAGTTTCTCCAAGTAGCCTTCATGAGTCGGTCTTCCAGAGAGCGGAGAAGCTTTTAAGTTATCGCGTGAGTAAACCTGAGTGGGAGGGAAGAATGGTGAAAAGTGGGAGGTAAATATTGTTATTTTTGCTCAAAAAGTAACTGATCAGTTTCTAGCCAGCACATGCGTCAGCTCATAACTATTTTACCCAAAATAATTAGGGAAATATTTTTTCTTCCATAGCACCTGTGCAACATGCTAAATTAAAATCTAACTTTTTATGTAAATTGGGTAATAAATATGCATTGTTTTCAACTCTAAACTAATAACTTTTACAGATTACACGCAGAAAACTTATGTATCAAGTTTCAGTGAAATCATAAGTTGTTGCTAAAAATAGGCTAATTTATGCAAATTAGACAATTACTATTCACAAATTTCAACACAAAACTAAACATGCCTATGGAGTATCCAAGGGCACTTATGATCCACGTTTCATTGAAGATATCAATGGAAAAATCATTTATTGGTATATGAATATTATCATAGTATATATATATATATATATATATATATATATCTGAGCACAAAATAAATATTCTAAAATAAACTTCCACTCTTTTCAAACTTTGGACGACAGATATTTTGTTGTATTATTCGTACAGAAACAACTTGATTCATTTACGGGTTTTCATATCCTTTTTCGTATACTAATTTCATGACCAGTCATTGTGGCTTACAATGGCATATATTGAGTTTGCTCTCTGTTTGATACATAAAAATCAACGTCAAAATCATATATGGCACAGACAGACAGGGTAACCGCAAAGACTCCCTCACACACAGGAGTCAAAAATAACTAAATTTTCAAAAAGTAAAACCTCCATGGAAAATTTGACTCCTCTATGAAATTACTAAGTACTGAGAGCATATGCTGTAGATAACATTGTTTTCATTGGATAAAAAGAAAATTTTGTTTTTGATATTTTGCATATTATCATTATACACAATATCTTGTTGACTGCAAATAAATTATTGGTTTTTACCGAATGATGAATGACTGGTGGTGGTGTTGGTGTAGATAGTATACTACTCTGTGGCCTTTGCTTCTGTCTAGTTGGTGTGCGCTCTTCATCTGTTGGTTCAGAGGTGCCCACATTCCCTATAGTTTTCCTCATTGCACCTTTAACTGGGAACGTCTTCGTTGGTGAACCCTTGGGTGATTTTTTTGAAGATGGCGGTGTTTGGTTGTCAGTCTGCACCAGCTCTTCATACGAGTGATCAAGGCATGAGTTCATGATATTGGCCATCTCGCGACTGAAACAAACAACAATATGACGCAATTGACATGCAAAATAGTGCATTTTTGTGTTTGTACAGTTTAATGTTTCACAACAAAATATTACAGTTACAGTGAGTGTGTCACCAGTCAATATAAACTATTTTCTGTTCACTGCATATTTTTGGGGTATTTCTACATCTAATCGATGTGCTATACACATTTGGTGGTGGTGGTTTTAATGAAGTTAGGGTATCTCAACACATTATTTTGAAATTGAGCTATGCACCTTTCACATATACTGTAAAATATTTTATTTCAGCTGGAATTAATTTTCGCTGAAAAGACTTTTTGGGTGTTTTGTATGGAATCTATTTTCACTGATGAGTTGAATGTAAAATATAGAAAAAAAGGTATATTTACTGGATTTTATTTTCACTGATTTATTCCTTTAGTGAAAATTAATTCCAAGTGAAAATAAAGTATTTTGTAGTATGCAAACTCACAGTGGACAGAAAGTCACCTACCAGGTATTACAAACATACCCAGCACCTACGCCCCACCCCACCCAAGCCCAACACTTGTCGTAGTCATGCAGGGCTGTTACCGGGATAGAATAAGAAATGTTACCTGGCCAGGAATGAAATGCAATACAGTTTTGTACTACCCAGCAAGTATACAGCGAAAAACATGATCGGGTTATGTTATCCGGTAAATCCTGGCCACTATAACATCTAAGTACATGTTTTCGATCACCATGGATTGAATGCGGATTGTGTGGCAGTTTTGTTTATTGTTCCCAGTGAAATGATAAAATGTTACTCACGCTGGACTGACTGGTGGTGTGATGTTGTAATCCTCCACAGCTTTTCGAAACTGTGATGAAAAATCAGCGATGCATGAAAAAAAATCTTCAGATGGTTTATCTGCTGTTTCACCATACATTATCTGCCAATGAAATTATTACAAATATACGTCTGTGTTTTCATTTCATGTGTCGTTATATTGATTGAGGAATGGATTACAAATACTGGGGATGACAACCATTCATGTAGTTTTGCTTAATAATTGATACTAATCAAGATGGTGACAATGTATTGATGGTAGGTTGTTTATTTACAGGTAGTTTTCCATAAACAGACAAGAACCATGCAGTAATATGGGTGCGTCATGCTGCCTGTTTAACAACTACAAATGTCCAGTTGATGTGCATCATTGAGAAATTCATAGTGTCATATAAACTGATTTTTCAGATATTGCATTTTTTTCTCCCTCGTTTGGAATGACCTCAATATCTGGACCAGCAACATTCAAACACATAGAAGATCATGCAATATATATGCGCAACCATTCTTTTTGCATACTGTTTCGAAAAAGCTGAATAAATCTGGATCTGGGTCTTGTAAAAACAGATTTCTTTTAAACTTGGTATGTACATTGAACATTATGGTACCTCATTTTTTAGATCAGATTCAAAATGAACAACTGGTTGCCATTCTTAAATCATATTTCTTACATGCTTTCACCATTCATGTTCAAACATATTTCTTAAACTTGATAACTCAAGACGACCATGTTTACTCGTTTTAATACTGTATTTGCTCCATTAGAAGTGCATGCACTTATGTAAATTACAGATGTGTAATAAGTAATATTTTAATGATACAAGATACAATAAATGCAACTTTTGGTTTATATGGGCTTCTTTTGGAGATGCGCTTCTAATAGAGAAAATAGGATAATGTTAGTTTTTAAACCAAACTGGTTGTGAGGAATCAGGTCAAATTTCCTTGCATATTACACTAAACTGTGGTGCTGTTGGTCAAAGTTGTATATTTAAAAGTGATCACTGGAAATAATAATAATGATGATATAAAATAATTCAGTGAAGTGTGCGACTGATTGAATCAGTGCTGCGATACTTACCAGAACTTTACCGTAAAGACTCCTCATTTCTTCACATTTATGATGTAACATCTTTAACTTTTGCTCATAAGTGGAAACAAAATCCTGTAAACATACGGGTTATCAAATATCAGCAATTGACTCTATGTTTGTTGTTACCGGTACTATGGAAACAGATGATACTCCCAAAAGATATTTAAACGAGAGCATAGTCTAACTATGGCAACCTTTCCTAATCAACATTGACAGACTTTTCATGTATTATATTTTCGTTATTTATGATGTGACAAGTAACACTACCTGTAGTAGGCCTTAACTTTTTCATCACCAGACTCTCTCGCCCACATTTTTCTGCACTTTTTTTTTATATTCCCCAATATTTCTGGAAATAAACTCTAATTTCGGAGCCAAGACACTAAATTTGAGTCAATTTTCAGTCTAAAATTTAGCTATTTTTGTCCCAATCTTCTGAAGGAAAGCACAGACTTTAAACAGGGCTATTTTATGAATTTGTGATGAAAAGAGGGAATTGGTAGTGAAAAGCTTAAAGGCAAGAATAAACTAAAAGCAAGTACAGCAAAGTTTAATTGATAGTTCTCCTCTCAAACAAAAGACTATTTTTTCCCTTGTTACCTCGACTTGTTTACAGAATCTTTTGTCCTGAGGTGAACACACTTTACTCTTCGTCAACTGTACAGCGCTTTTTCGCATCCTTGTTAAGTCTTTCTTCATGACTGCAAATTGGGGGTGACAAATGCACAAATTGTTAAATTTTCATCCATCAATTCAACAAAAAGTTTATAAAGCTTACAATATGTAAGGCCAGAAAGTTCTCTACAAAAACTATTTAGCTTCTTCACATGATT